ATGGGTTTAAAGCAGGTGTAGCCCATGTGAATACCTCTGTGTGTCTGACTGTATTTGAGAGAGAGAGAATGATGGTTCTCATACACTCTCCGTAAGTGGCTGATGAGGTGGAGGTCATTGAGGGAAACCATCACCACGGTTACCAAACATCTTGAGCTCCTTCAGATCACATTCTCTCTCCCCTCCTCCTCTGTTGCCATAGCAATGCCACCATCCCAGAACGAGGAGACCTGTGATGCACCCCAAAGGATCATGGGATGCCTCTCTGCATAATCAGTATGTGTGTGTGTGAGAATGCCTGTATGAAGTGCATGTCTATATTTCTACATATATGTTTTAGAGAGAGAGTAACCGAAACCAGAATGAAACTGGAACAACAGCATTCATAAATAATTTAAAAAATGTTGCAGATGTGATGTGTATCATGAAATAAGTCTAAACAACAGTATTTTAGGGGTTTAAAGAAGAAGCTATTTGGTGAATCATTCAAAGCTTTTCAAAAACATGTCCAGATCATTTCACACACATAATCAAAGATCAAGAAATTAGTTTTGCATAACATGATATATGTTTTTATTACTGTTTAGATTTTTAATTTTCAGATTATTCATCTAATTTTCATTACTATATTGCAAAAACTTACAAAATATACACCATTGTTCAGAAGTTTGGGGACTGTAAGATTTTTTTTCATCCGCCATTACATTACATTACTGTACAGTACAGTGTCACATAATCCTTCATAAATCATTCTCATATGCTGATTTGGTGATCAAGGAACTTTGTTTTATTATTATCAATGCCTGTGCTGTCACTTTTGATCAATTTAATGCATTCATGCTGAATAAAATAATCATTTTTTTAATCATACCGACCCTCTACATTTTGAAAAGTAGTATATTTTGTAATTAAATAAATATAATTTTAATTAATATTCAATTATTAATCACTATTATTTATATTGTAAATTATCCACACATTATGGTAGTATTTGTTGTACATTTAATTTATGCTGATTTTAAATAAACCATTTTCATTGTACAACTTTTAAATGATCTTTGAGAATGTTCTTTGTCAGATTGACCTGTGTTAGTAAAAAGTTTGTTAGTATCTGTTGAAATCATGTTTTTAATATTTATTAATTTAAAGTCTCTTGATGTGAGCTTTAAAATGTATACAGTTAAACTCAGTAATGTTAAAGAGCAAGAGTAAGATCATTTTATAAATCATTTGTTGTAAAATGAATGGCAGTTAGCTCTCCATATGTTCACACAGTATGTGTCTGTCTGACACACAGCTCTAGGCCACTCCCCCTTTCCATAAACACATGGGCACAATACTGACGATACACACAACGGGAAAAATCAGTATATTCAAACAGACACAAAGCACAGTATTTAAACAACACAGCCTGTGTCACTTTATAACGGGTGACACGCTTCATCCCATTGTCAGAGCTACAGCTGGGGTGTGTTTTTACATGATGGTGCGGTGGCCTTAATACTGGGGGAAATGCTCCTAATCCTTTTTTGAGCGGCACCATGAACCCTGCATTAAACCTAATAAACCAACCCCCAGCAGTCCTAAACACACACATACACACACACACACACACACACACACACACACACACACACACACACACACACACACACACACACACACACACACACACACACACACACACACACACACACACACACTCTTTTTATCCAAAAAGGGAGCAGATTAGCACCATGCACATGAGGGTTTGCAGGGAGGGGGAGACTGTGGAACGGAGGGAAAGGGAGTCCTATTAGCAAATGCATTGGATTCAGCTGCTATATTTGGACCCCCTTAGCACCTCATATCACTATTCAAAAGACCCCCACCCTCTGTGTTCAGTGTGTATGACAGAAAGAGAGAGAAAATCAGAGAGCAAATCTCATAAAAACATGGCAGCGGTGTAAATGATGCACATTTTTAAATGAACATTGGAGCTGTTTCCCACTGGATACATAGAAAGAGAGAGGGAGCATTGTATAAAGAAAGAGAGCGATCATTTTGGCAGAAGTTATAAACAGAACTGTGAACAGAGAAAGAAAACTGAAAAGTCGATTTAGTTTGACACAGAAGGAGAGGTCAAGTTGTAAAAGAGAATAGATGAACAGAGAAGGTTGGATTCAAAGTGACTTTGTGTTTACTGTAGTACTGGGGATCATCGTATCCTTGTATCCGTACTCGTGGTAACGTGTCTTTGAGCATCCTGCTGCCTGGGCATTTTTTTCACACATCACATGACTGAATGGCACCTTGCTGGCCGCAGAGCTAGAGAAGTAAGTGATCGGGTTTCTGTGGGACTGCAGGAAAAATGGCGGTGGAAGAGGCTGCTGACTATTTTTCACCCGTAAGTACTCTACAAACATGACTGAGAATGGCTGGGAAGTGTGTGCTGTTTTAAATAGGCGTTTTAGGAATGATTGGGAAATGCTTGGGTTCATTGTATGAGACTCTGAAAAGCTCTTGCTCTTCATCTGCTTCAACCCCAGTCAGATTTTGTCCTTCAAACCTTTTATTAACATATTTATTGAATACATGATATATTTGACACTGCTGGTAATTTTAAACTCCTCTGCAGTCTAAATGGTGCAAAGTCTGATCTATTGGTCTCGCTGGGCTCAGATTTTTAGATTTTGTTTGCAGAATCCGACAGAGGTAAATGTCCTCACAGATATCAGAGAGTAACTTACTGCTTATGTGAAGAGCGGCTCTGTTGCCAAGGTTGTATCACATGCAAAATTAGATCTGCTTCATGTGTGTTGGTGTTATTACCACCAGTTTGACATTCATACTGGTCAGGCACTCCAACTCTACCTTTGCTCTAGTGCTTTTTTACTGACCTTGGTGTGTGTGTGTGTGTGTGTGTGTGTGTGTGTTAGGATCTGTTCAGATGAAGATAAACTTTCGAAATCGAGGTGAAGTGAAGATTGTGTTGATGTTATGAATAGTGTTAAGGTAATGTAAAGCTTAAAATTAAATGTTCCAATGTTTTATGGATTTTTTTTGCGTCCTGTGATACTGTTTTGTCGTGGATATTATGTGTGTGCATTGTCAATGCTTTAAGATAGCAATTGTTTAGCAGGTTAGCATTCCTTTATACTACTGTTCAAAAGTTTGAGGTCAGTACGTTTTTTTTTTTTAAAGAAATTAATACTTTTATTCAGCAAGGGCTCATTTAATTTATCAAAAATGACAGTAAAGACATTTATAATGTTACAAAAGATTCTTATTTCAAATAAAATCTGTTTGAACTTTTATCAATGTATCCTGAAAAATATATCACAGTTTCCACAAAAATGTTAAGCAGCACAGCAGTTTTGATAATAATAAGTGTTGGCTAGTATAATAATAAATGTTTCTTGTTCACTAAATCAGTATATTAGAGGGATTTCTGAAGGAGCATGTGACACTGAAGACAAGAGGCTGCTGACAATTCAGCTTTGCCATTGGATGAAAAACTTGCAGTTTAAAATAAAATTGAAAACATTTATTTAAATTATATTAACATTTCACAATATTACTCTTTACTGTAGTTTTGTTCAAATAAAAGCAGACTTGGTGAGCATAAAAGACTGAGCAGAGTTTTAATTTAGAGCTTTCATTGTACTTACTGACAATCCCATCGGAGTAATGAGGGGTTAAGAGTCTTACTCAAGGGCACTATGATAACAGGACAGGAAGTCATTCCCATTCACTGGCAACTAGGGATGCACCGATACCACTTTTTCCAGTACTCGCCCGATACCGCTACTTTTCTTTTTGGTACTTGCCGATACCGAGCACCGATACCGATATTTTCATTGCATTTGTAAATTTTTCAAATATTGGGTACAGAAACCAAAAGAGTATGTATAATGTTAGTTGGTTAACTTCATTTATCAAATAGATACAGTCAAACCAACGTTTAATCAGACACCTTCAACATTTCTCACATTATCACAGTTTATTCGCTATAGTTTAGAAAATTATAATAAAATATGACAGAAACTCAGAGTTAAACTGTGTCAGAACAAATTCATCTTGATAATGTCAGATAACTTTGATAGAAAGGTATGTAATGGATTACAATCAACCAAAAATTATTCATACAGCTGTCAATATTTGCACAACTATCAATACTTAATCGGGCAACCCTTAGCCTTAATGACAGCATATAGTCTCCTGGGCATGCTGTCACCCAGCTTCATGCAAACCTCAACTTCAGTTTTTTTCCAGACTCGGTCTGAATAATTTGTGGTCCCAAATTTGTGTCAATTTTACTGGTAGCCCACTGTATGAAGAATTTTTGGGTATATCACAGTTTAGTTTATTTTGCTATCCTCACTTACATAAATGAGCTATAGTGTCCTGCACCCACTAGTAAGTCTTTTGGTTTGACTGTATATCCTTCTGTTATTTTCACACTTAATTATGCCCATTAAAATGTATTTTACAAGTTTTTGTTACTTTCACTGTTCATTTTTTTGCTCTATGGTACATCATCTTTAA